GTGTGTGTGTGTGTGTGTGTGTGTGTGTGTGTGTGTGTGTGTGTGTGTCAGGCCTGCATGGCAGAGAGCATTATGTTAAATCTGGCTGGCCAGTTGATCATGCTACAGCGGGACCGTTCAGGACCGCAAGTGCGAGAGAAAGACACGGCTGCTGTCAACAAGAAGCTGGTGAGTACACACTGATATCTTTGCATGCAAAATGTTCTAATAATACTGATGTCCGTGCAAACAGAAATCAGACCTCACACCACTAAAACTGAATTTTAAATTTTAGACATCCCCTCATAACAGCTTTGCTTTTTTTCCCCCCACTAGCTCCCATTTTGTCCCCCTGTCGTGTTGGCCCAGTGTGTGGAGAATGTTTGGACCACCTGTCGATCCAACAAGAAAAAGCGCCATCTGCTGGAGGCTCTTTGGTTGTCCTGTGGAGAAGCGGGCATGAAAGTGTGGCTGCCACTTTTCCCCCGAGACCATCGCAAACCCCACTCCTTCCTCTCCAGACGCATAATGCTGCCCTTCCACATCAACATCTACCCTTTGGCCGTGCTGTTCGAGGATGCCCTCGTACTGGGGGCAACCAATGAGACTGTGCTCTACGACGGGATGCAGGGATCCTCAGAGCCACTGGAGGCACTGTTTCCCTACTGCACAGTAGAGAGGACCTCACAGATCTACCTCCACCACATACTGAGACAGCTGCTGGTTCGCAACCTGGGTGAACAGGTACTTGGAGCAACCTGGCTCAACATATCTGCTTATTTTTATAAGGGTTTTGCTTTGCTTGGAGTAGTTTTGACTACATTCTTTGTAAGCGATAACACAGGTCCATACTGTAATCACATTAGCCTCGTAATGTTCTTACCCTGAGCAAAAAGAACCTTGAAATCCAAGTCCGAAGAAACTGAGATACTTGTCGCCAAAGAGGAAGCCAGAAAAGGTGTAACTTTCCCAGGTGTTTACTCTGGAGTGACGATGGGGGGGGGGGACAAAGAAAAGAAATGAGGCTTCCAGCACTGCATTTTTAAGAGCAGATAAGGCAATTTAAGATGAGATATTTGATACTGGAATACGTTGAAATGAAAAGGTTAAACCCTACTTTTTTTCCATTTGCAATTTTTGTTCAGGAAAACTTTAAATAAAGACCAAAAGGCACTGATCACGATGATGATGATGATGATCAGGGCATGATGATGACAAAGCTCTGAGAAACTTTCTTTTCAAGTTTGTGTGAATTAGTTTGAATTACCAAGAAATTCAGGTATGAAAATATTGATAGTCAGTGAAACGGTCGTGCGTGTGATGTTAGTATATGAGAGAATTTATTCCTTTCTTTACTGTTTCCTTTCAAGGCTTTAATGCTGGCTCAGTCATGTGCCTCCCTCCCCTACTTCCCCCATGTCATGGAGCTGATGGTTCATGTAGTGCTGGAAGAAGAGGCAACGTCGCGGGAGCCCATACCCGACCCGCTGCTTCCCACCGTTGCAAAGTTCATCACAGAGTTCCCCCTGTTCCTCCAGACCATCGTCCACTGCGCCAGGAAGACCGAGTACGCCCTGTGGAACTACCTGTTTGCAGCCGTGGGAAACCCCAAAGATCTGTTTGAGGAGTGTCTCATGGCTCAGGATCTGGACACAGCGGCCTCCTATTTGATTATACTGCAGGTAACGAGCGGAGTCAACAGCTCATATTACCATATTCTGCATTCCCCACTTCAGTTAACTTTATAATGGCAGAGATTATTTGCATTTTCACCCTTGAAAATCTTTGGAAAAGAGTCTAATTTATTTTTCCAAGATCCTTAAAAAGATCCTCAAAGTCTCTTTTTCTCCTCCTCCATAAAGAATATGGAGGTTCCAGCAGTGAGCAGACAGCACGCCACTCTTCTCTTCAACACGGCTCTCGAGCAGGGCAAGTGGGACCTTTGCCGGCACATGATCAGATTCCTCAAAGCCATTGGTTCAGGGGAGATGGAGACTCCGCCCCCAACACCCACTACTCAGGTGAGGAGCTGAAAATGTTACAGGAAGACAGTGACTGTCAGTCTGTCTGGCTTCAAGCAAGGGCACCAACCTCGTACGGTTTTATCTTTATTCTGTCTTAAATTCACTGACTGTCCTTTAATGATCTTTTATTGTCTCTTCCTGTTTTATTTGTTTGTTTTATTCTGTGTTATTGCACAGCTCTTTCTGACTACATGCCCATGAAAAGCGCTTTTTATGAACTTTAAACTGGTAAGCTTCAAACGTGTTTCTGTGTTCAGGAACCCAGCTCAACTGGAGGTTTCGAGTTCTTTAGAAATCGCAGCATCAGCTTGTCTCAGTCGGCCGACTCGGTCACCGCAGGAAAGTTCAACCTGCAGAAGACCTTCAGTATGCCTTCTGGATCTTCTGCTAAAGGGTACCTGCACATTATTTTGCATAAAAGTGGACACTAGTACTGCAGTTTGTTCAGAATGTGCTCTGCTCATCTAACTATTCCTGTCTTTTCCCTCTGTTGCATCCTCCCGCCAGTCGGGATGTGGAGTGTGCAGAGAACATGTATATCGACATGATGCTGTGGCGCCATGCCCGTCACCTCCTGGAGCAGGTGCGCCTTCGTGATCTGGGATGCTTTTCCGCTCAGCTGGGCTTCGAACTCATCGGCTGGTTATGTCGCGAGCGAAACCGCGTGGCCCGAGTTGATGATTTTGTATTGGCGCTGAAGAAGCTCCATAAGGACTTCCTCTGGCCGTTCCCTGTCATTCCTGTGGGAAACCTCAGCTCACCACTGAAGAATGGACGGTGCCGTACAGGTGAGTGAAGAACAGGAAGGTTTACAGAGAAATCAATTATTACTTTAAATATTTAAAGGTGATGGTTGAATAGCCATCCAGTATGGTGCCCCAGTTTGCATACTACTGACAATTTAATCCTTACATGCCATCACTGGCTTCATCGCTGTAATTCTTGCTGTTCTTCGTTGTTGTTTTCAGTGCTGAGCCCACAGTTGTTGAAGTCACAGTCAGCAGACAGCCTGCTGAACAACGACATGGACACGGCACCGCCTCCGACAGCTCCTGACAACCACACCTGGATGGACGGGCTTGAGCAGAGACCCAAAGACATGGACACAGCCTCTTCTGCTCACTCAAACCAGCACTCACCACAGACTCATGAGGCCTTCCTGTCACTGCTCACCAACAAAGGTAATAAAACTTTAACAGTTATTCCCTTCTTTTGTTTTCATCCGCTTAAGCTGAACTTCATCTTTCACTCACTGCGCTTTCTAGTCGAGGAGTACAGCATCGGCTCGGCCACAGACCTCACAGAGACCAGCTCAGTGGTGGATGGCGACTGGACAATGGTGGACGAGAACTCGTCCACTTTGAGCCTGAGTCAGGCCGAGCTGGAGCACATCTCCATGGAGCTGGCCAACAAAGGCCCGCACAAGTCCCAGGTGCAGCTCAGGTGGGACCCCATTCAAACTATGGTAGTTTAATTCAATGCAAAATCAACACGTATATTTAAGCTGCGCCTTCTGTGTGTCTATCAGATATCTTCTCCATGTGTTCATGGAGGCGGGCTGCCTGGAGTGGTGTGTGGTGATTGGTTTGATCCTGCGGGATGCAAATGTCATCAAGCAGGTGATCAGTTTCCTGGACAACCCAGAGGTTCCTGCGGAAAATGTGCAGAGTGTCCGAAATGGATTATTAGCAGTCGATGCGTGGGCCTCCACAGACTGGTGGGTAGTTCTGTGCTGGTACCGATATTTTTAATCTATAAAAACACGTTATGTAGGGGAGAGCAGTGTGTTCTGATTTATGAGATGTCATCTTTAGTTTGGAAATTGTGACACATTTTTAATGACCACTAAATCACTGTGATTTTTTTTATTTTTTTTATATTACACAATAGGGCAGCACAGTGGTGCTGAGTTCAATTCCACCATCAGGAATTGGAGTGTGGAGTTTGCATGTTTGTGTGGGTTCTCCTCGGATAATAATAATAATAATTATTAATAATTATTAATAATAATAATGGATTGGATTTATATAGCGCTTTTTCAAGGACCCCAAAGTGCTTTACAATGCCACTATTCATTCACTCTCACATTCACACACTGGTGGAAGCAGCTACGGTTGTAGCCACAGCTGCCCTGGGGCAGACTGACAGAAGCGAGGCTGCCATATCGCGCCATCGGCCCCTCTAGCCAACACCAGTAGGCGGTAGGGTAAAGTGTCTTGCCCAAGGACACAAAGACCAGGACAGAGAGCCCGGGGATCGAACCGGCGACCTTCCGGTTACAGATACGCTTCCCAACCCCCTGAGCCACGGTACTCCAGCTTCCTCCCACAGTCCAAAGACATGCACTTTGTGGGGATAGGTTAATTGAAAAATCTAAATTGCCCATAGGTGTGAATGCGGGAGTGAGTGCGGCTGGTTGTTTTTCCCTGTGTGTTAGCCCTGCGACAGACTGGCGACCTGTCCAGGGCGTACCCCGCCTCTCGCCCTATGACAGCTGGGATAAGGATAAGCGGATGCGAATGCGTGGATGGATATTACGCAATAAATACAAACCACACCTTCCAGCAGTACCATCAGTCCTAATACACTAGTATAGAGCCGATACCAGTGCCGGCGTTGTTATCGATCCTATTATCAAAAGTCACGATCAGTAGCAATCAGATACCGATACCAGTATTGATAACTATGCTATCAGTATTTGGATTGACCTATCCAACTCTACTGATGGATATAACAACTCGTATAGAGAGATTTCTTTACCTTTTTTATTACAATAAATGTTTTGTCTTCTTCCCGTAGCCTGGGTTACAAACCATTCCTCAGCCTGATCCAGCCGCAGCTGCAGCGGCTGATGGAGTCGACGTCGGAGCAGGTGCAGCCTGAAGCCTTCCAGCCTGCCACCCAATGCTCCAAGCTCAGTGGCTCTGAAGGTCTGGGAGGAGCCGCGGTACCTCGGGCAGAAGACAGCAGAGGAGTGGTGACCCCGCTGGGCCTGGCCCTGCCCTCTCTCGAACCCGCAGGAGTTTTCCCCCGTCCCCCCTCTGAGGACTGTCCTCCCGAACAAACGGAGGAGCAGGGGGAGGAGGAGGGAACCTACGACTGCACCTTGTCCTGAAGCCTCTTCTGGACTTTTTAACCTGTGAACCCTTCAAGGGCCGGAGTGGTGAAAGCTGCAGCATTGGCTGACTGGAAAAAGACTTCATTTGTGTGAGCGAGCGTGTGCGTGCCTGCGTTTGTGCGCCTCTTTGTCGGTTCCTACTTCAGTCAGTATTACCCACTCTTTAGATCGCTATCAGCCCGACAGGCACAAAGACATCACAGCACAAACGGTTCCTTTTTTAACAGAGCTCATTTCAGCAGATTGTGCTGGTAGATTAGAGAGGAGGGTTACTCATGTCAGTTGTTTTCCACTTGTGTTGTTTTGGAAGCTGTAGAGCAGCACGCGAAAGCTTGGGTAGAGCGATAGAATCAGTTCAGAGGGTCTGTTCTGATCTTTGCGCTAACCGCGGAGCATAACGTAGAACAAAGAAAAAGCTCGAGAACCTTTTACGGGACTCGCTGAAGTGCGTCTGAGCCTACAGTACGTGAAGCGTGCCGTTCTGTCTGTGTGCACAAGAGGTGTTTCATACTTTCATACCTCAGTATAATTTTAAAATATTTTGTGATACCTTTTTTTCTATAATGTAACAGTGTACAGGATGACATTATTTTTCTATCCCTCTGCAGTCACCCTGTGACCAAAAAAAAAGAAAAAACACCCTCAGCAGATGATTCTGTGTGATTCTTTAAAACAGTTGAATTTAAGGTTTCTAAGAAAATGATCTGTGAGTAGAATCCCACTGTTCTGAGTGCAGACTAGTTTCTTACCACTGATCAGCACCTCGCCCGCCCGCTGCCCACCCCCTCCCTAGTGATGCTAAAGTACAGAATCAGCTGCCTCGCCCTTCCCCGTGTGGGTTTTCACACAAAGCAAAGCAGATCTGTGTTGATCCTTCTCAACACTTCCTGCGCTGAATAAAAAAAAAAAAAAAAATCACAAGATGCTTTTTTTTTTTTAAATTCAAAAAAGGCTTTGTTTCCCATCACGCCAAACGCACATCATTAGTGAGTTTTTAAAAGCCATCAGGTGGATCGTTGGCTTGTCAGCAGTGTTAGGAGCGACGCGTTAGTATTGTTTTAGTTTGAGGGATTGATTGTTGTGCAATAGATAAGTCGCCGTGTGGTTTTTGACCCTCACCCTCTCGCAGTTCGTCCGGACCACCCGCGAGACGAGCGGGAGGCCGATCGCCGTGTTCTCGTGCTTCCGAGTGGAAATCTGAACGCGTGTGCAGGGCCGTGTTCACACCATGTTGACATGATTGGTGACTCTGATCACGTGGAATTGATTTTTATCGTGTTAGTCCTCGTCATTACTATTATTTATTGGGATTATTAGCTGAGAGATCATTCCTGCTTTGTTTTTAATGACTGATAACAAAACTCCTTCTCCCTCCTCTTTAGTTATCAAAGTCATGCATTGGCTCAACTACAAGCACTAAAAGAAAAACAATGCGTCAGTATTATATTGTGCAATGTATTGAAATGTTACTCAGCTTTATTTTTTTATGCTTACTGCTTTTGTGTTTGTTTTTTCTTTCATTTCCCCCCCAGCTGTGCGCTTCTCATCCTAGACCAAAATGATAAGTTATAGTTGGGTGTGTTTATCTGTTTAGATTCTTGAATGGTTTCTCTTCTACGAGCTGCCCGTCACTATACACAAAAAGGTTGAGACGGCCCGAGCGGCTCTGTATCGTCTACTTCGACCCTCCTTCCGCTCTGAACAAGCCTACAGCTCCACTACAAGCTTTACTTGAACACGGACACTTGATGAACCAAAGACTTTACGTCCAGAGGCCTTCTGTTTTAACCCCGTTGCTTCGATTTGAACGTTCAAGTCCTCATGCAGAGGGAGGAGAATCTCACTCGCGCACATCCCAGCCCTCTCATCAGAAACATCATCGCTCAAAACTAATGCTGACGGTATGCGAGACAATTTCCTACGGAAATGAATATTTCAGCTCTTTTATGGTTTCCTTCTCGGTGAGGAAGGAGTGTCGTTCGCTCGCTCAGTAAAACGTGGACAGCAGCTCCCTCCCACCCGTGTACAGTTTAAAAGTATTGCTCGTTTCCTCAGAGTCGAGATTTATTTCTGGGGCAGCAGACATCCTCAATGCAGTGTAAAGATACTCTCTTGTACATTCGCCTTTTCTACTTATATTTGGTTTTCTACTTCATTTTCCCCCCCTTGTACATATAGACCAATAAATTATTTTTAAAAGGTTTTTCTGCCTCTTTGACCTCCTTATTTTTAAAGCAACACAGCAGCTGCAGACAAAGCAGCAACGTGTGTGTGTTTGGCTTTAAATACTCTAGAAAAGAGCTCTTATATTAATGTTTGACACCAGAAAAAACTGAGTTAACTGACATATTAACATTACAACTCCACAAATATCACACGGGGGAATCTGCTGGCTTTAAATTGACTGTTTTGTTAAATTCACGTTTAAAAGACTGTTCTGGGTTTTATTCTTCGAGCTGTGGTGCCCTTGCAGTGTTTATATTAAAACATAATTGATATCTGTACATGCAGTTTTGAAGTAAGATCAGCAAGCAGGAGTGGATGCATTTCCTCTGCCTGTAGAAAGAGAGCAGAGTTATTTTACTTATGCAAAAATTCTCATGGCCAAAATGTAATTTTTAGTTAAACAAGTGTCAAATGGTTGCCATGTCAGGGTCAGCTGTAACAGAACGGCAGGGATTTTGTTTGTATTGGTGATATACTTTACAGGCAGAAAATGGACATATTCACTCGACTTAAAGTGACACTGATTGGTCAGTAGCCAGTTACCATGCCGATGTATCAAAGAAAAAACAGGCTTAACCCTGAAGTTACCTGGGTGAACATGAAACCCCGCCTCACCATGTAGCTGATATAGCTGATGATGTTAGTGTCCACGTCTGAAGAAGTGACACTTGCCAAGATTAAACGTAAGAAGCTTTTTAATTGCTGTACAAGTGTTAAATTAATTCAAACTTTTTGCATAATGTGAAATCATCCCGTAAATTGAATACATGGATACCCTGTTAACCAGACCCAATAATCCAAAGCTCAACAGTCAACAGTTCCAACTAAGAAAACAAAACTTCAAGGAAGAAGGTTAACGGTTATGTGACGGTCGTTAGAAAGAAAGAAAAAAAAAATCTGTCTTGTTAGAAATCAACTCTAAGAACAAAACTAGCAGTTACAGATGTGGATGAAAGGTCAATTTAAAGAAAGAAAAACCCCAAAACTTCAAATGTAATATTTTTAGATATCACATTAAGATATTTAAAAGTATCCCACAGTTAAAGAACGTATTTCTTGACTTGATATGGACTTCTAGACTGTTATGTGTGAAGAAGATAAAGTCCAAAATCTGAACTCACGCTCAACAAAAACGTTCAGTGCAGTGCCCGTCAGCCTCTCAGCCTACACTAGTTCACACTAACACAGTAACGCATAGTAAATTCAAATCACTCACATCTGAAAAGGAGTGTGTATGAAGCTCTCGAACACTGGGAGTAACAGCAGTGTAGGGTGAGCCATTTCTCAGCCTTTCCCCGCTCTGCCCCTCTATTACAGCAGTACCTGCTCGGGACAAAATGAGACTTTTTACTGGTCTTAGTAAAGAAAAAAAAAATCCATCTTTCAGTCTGGAGCAGCAGGATCAAGTACAGAGTCGGCCGTCAGTGGACAGATCAGAAAAGACTGGACTTTTTTCTTTCCTCCCAGGTTTTAGTGCCGCACTCAAACTGCAGACACCCGAAACGTGAACACGGGTGAGGTGATGAACGTTATCATGAGGTAAATGGCAAAACAACCGAAATGTATATAGGCATGGTACTTTAGTGAGAGCAAAAACTACATCACCACCAAGCAAAAATCTAATTTGTTTAAATCTTTGTCCTTTTGAAGGAGCACCGAGGTCTCGCTGATCTTTGCAGGAATCAGCTGATGAGGTGAAAAAGTCCAAGCAGGCGCTTTCACCTGCATCACACGGGCTTCCTCAGCAGGTGGAGTCGAAGCGCTTCAAGTGCCTGTCGTCAAAGTTAAGACTGAAATTTTTTTTCATTGCTATGAAACCAGTAAAAAGAAGCATCCTTTATCATTTGATCTGACCCGTGAGGCGACACGAACACACACTCCACTCACGTGCTGAGATATAACTCCAGAATAGCTACAGAGTGGCTCAATATGAATTTTATGACTTTAAAATAGTTTGACTTTCAAAAAAAAGAGCACAGTGGGACAATCTGCTGAAGGCTGTGATGGATGTTAGCAATCCACGGGCATGAAAACGCTTTGCAGTGTGGCACTTGATAGCTTTTAAGACCACTGAGATGTTTGTGTCCACAACAGTAAACGTTTTGTGCGTCTTTGGAAGCAAAACTTTAAGGCCTCCTTTCATTGTGATTTCTCGTTTTGTGGCAAACAGACAACATGGTTCACGGTGACACCTCGCTAGGTAGACTCGAGGCAGACGAAAGACTTGTTTCATTAGTCAACAACCCGATTCCACCTTTGACTCCTTTAAAGAGGAGTCAAACCTGGGGACGCAGGGAAGTCAGACTTTCTGAAAACACAGATATGGACGTAGCCCACAGATAAGCATGGTGACACTTTATAAACCATTTAAATAATCTCTCTTTTCAACATTAATTAACTTTTGTTAGCTAAACCTCCTCTAAAGCTTTCCCACAGTAACATTCAATCTGAAACTTATCTCGGTGTTGAGTTTGATCAGTCCGGAGGTAGTGGTAGTACCATGTGAAGCAGACTGTGGATGTGAGCTACAGAAAAAACAACAGCACAAATAAAACTGAGCCCTCTCCAGCAGCTGATTTTACATTCAAGAAAGGGAAAATCAAAAAGTGGGAATAAAAGCCAATCCCAGATTCCCGAGGTTTTCAGCGACTTATATTGTCTGACCCACGACCCGGGAAGGCATTTCTTTTGCTTACAGATGCAATAAACAAAAGCAGAGGATCACATTTGAAAATCAATGAAGCAAAAGATTTGTTAAAGTCACTGCTGGAGACGGCTGGAAGCATAGTCAAGTTTTCCTTTTTTTCCCTTGCTCTTAAAAAAGAAAAAAAAAAGTGCAGTTACTACTACAGTGGGAACAAATGTGAAACGGATGCAAAGGTACACCCCCCTGTGGACTGGGGGGGGGTAAATCCTGAACAATCTTAAACCCTAAAACAAAATTAAACTGCATAAACACGTCAAGTGAATTTACACTGCCCTCCGGATTTAACCACCACTTCCAGAACAGCTTGAATTCAGACATCTGTTTTCATTTAACAGTTTTCTGTCTGCACGCCATGTCCTCCGACAGTTTAAGCAGGCGTTACATTCCTCGTTAAAACGCGTGGCTCCAAAAATAAAAAAAAAAATAAAAATGAGTGGTCTTAGTAAAGAAGGGCAAGTCAGTAAATCAAACTATTAAAACAAGTGCAGGTTAATGACAAGTGACTTTCAAAGTATCCGGTTAAATTCAGAGGAGGAGAGAACAGGTTGAACTCATCCATCATGTGTTATTGCACCCTGCGATGCACAGCGCGGTTGGTAGACACATTTAATATGAGACAACGTTCAGAGTGGTTTTGCTGATAAAGAGCAGTGGAGGTAGCCGTGCGGTGTTAGTTGTTCGGGAGGAACACTGGCGTTAGTGAGGAAGAGCGAGGGTGGATGTGAGCGAAAGGAAAAGCGAGTTACAGCAAGTAAAGCAAAAGGCACGATTGAACAAGTAGAGAACAGAAGAAAAAAACAAAAACTAACCCCTTCCTTTCACTAAGCCGGGAGTGAGCACAGCACCAAGCATCTCTCCTTGGTTAACTACAGTGCCTATTGACACAGTGGTGGGGGTCTCTCAGGCTGGCTGGGGTGGAGCTCGCATGTGTTGTGTGTGTTACAGTTTGAGTGAAAAGGCAGTGGGGTCACTCCTCTGTATTCTTCCTTGTAATCTCTTCTACATCTGTCTTGTGGAGCCCTGTAGGCCAAAGCTCTCCTCTGCAGCAGCCTCGTGGGATGTGTGACATCCTCAGTATCGGTACATGTCATAGGTACTGACCCAGGAAGAGGGAAAAGCCCACGTGGGGAACCTGTGAAGCATTTCCTCCAACCGAGCAGTCCTCTGGTCTTTCCCAAAGAAATAGTGGGAGGAGATGGCGACTGAGACGATCCCCTCGGGGCCAGATGGGTCAGGGTCTGCGGGAGGCTGACAAACAGAGGGACAGAAATAAAACAGCAGAAGAACCAAATAAGATTAGCAATGTCTTAAGTCTGATTATGCTGCATGAGGAGTTTGTCTGAGCCACGAGGGGTTACGTGCAGCATTCATTGCAAATCGTGGCTCAGTCCCACTCATTTTAAAACATGGGCCACATGCAGCCGACTTTGATCTTAAGCAAGCGGAATCAGTGAAGCTGATCAGTAAAGCAGGGGAGCTCGTTATAGCTGCAAAAGTAAAACTGATGAAAACAGTTCAAAGTCCAAAATTCTACATTTTTCTGATTCTGGCCCCCAGGCCTTATGTTTGGCCGTAATAATAGGACAAAAACCTCGTGACTAGGAAAAATCTGTGGTTTCCCAGCGGTGTTTTTCACTTTCAGCAAACAACTGCAAGTAGTGGGGTGACCAGCTTCAGATGGCAACTGCACAGGTTGTCTCAAAATAATCATGGGTCTCACTGCTGGACTGACTGCAGTCACTCAGGTTTACAAATAATTACCATCGAATTTATAAATGAAGACAAATTGACAACATGTTGCAATTAAACAGTTAGTCATCTGTGACAAATTTATTTGCAATCCTGGGATTGACTCAACTGGTTATATTGTGCTTGTATTAAACTTCATTAAAAATAAAGTTTCCAGTCATGTGTTATTTTGCACTCAAATTGCCATCCTGCAGCAACTATTCGTGGAGACATTTCTGTGTCAAATCCATGTGGCTGTGGTTGGACTCTGAATCTAACAAGTTAATGTGAATTCCTGTGTGTGTAGATGGCAACAGGTACATGATATTTGCCTGTTTATCACAGTTAATTACTGTAATTTGCAAAACTATTGCAGGTAATTTTCAGTACAGACTGCTTGATGCGCCAAAGTCACTATGAAGATGGAAATAGGAAATGTAAATAAGAAGAAAAGGTCAGTACCTGTATTTCAAACCAGAAGGTCCATGTGGGGGCATCAAGGCCATGTGAATAGAAGATAAAATATTCTCCGCTCAGGTCAA